GCTCGTGATCATTCCATGAGAGTGCACAGGGGTGAAATTTGTTGGGAGGTCAGAGTCTGCTGATGCTGTTGCCCCTGGTAGGACAGAAAGCCAAAGGAATTGTGGTACATGATACAAACCTTAAAACATGAATTAAAGGAATAAGGCATGTAATACGGATAGAGAAGTCAGTGACTGAGCAGATGCTGGAGACATCCCCTTGTATACAACAGCACTGTGTTTACACAAATACCTTTCAGTGCATTACTACACCTGGAGTATTAGTAGAAGGATTTCTTATTAGTATCTATAGTAGAGCTGTGTAGTAATTGACTTTTTTTTTCTGACCTGACTGAACAAAATAAAAAAAAAGAAACCCAGTATGTATTTACCTGAAACAAAGCATGTTCAGTTTTCTTGAGGAATTGAAATGGAAGCAAAACAAAAATTAGCCAGGTGGGACCAACATATTTATTTCATCCCTAAATAATAAATTTTGTGTAGTATTTAAGCTTGGAGGTTAAAGACTAAAAAGGAAAATACTTTTCCTAATCTGTGTAAAATTTTACGTGTTTTTGCACTTTTGAAATGGAGAGGTCAAGATAAATTGTTCATTTTTTTTGTTGTTGTTTTGCTTACATTATGCATGGATATTGCTCAAATAATGTTTTTCAGGAAACTATTTTGTGCAAAAAAACCCCTCATCTAGCTCTTTCAGTAGGACACTACAGCATCATATCCTCTTATCTTGCTCTTCTCTTAGAGCCTGACTCATGAACAATGCCATATCCTTCAATGTGACTGTGTGCTTGAGAGGGGGGTTGCAGATTTAAATCAGGCAATTTAATGTTTCCAATTATAGGAAACGTATTTGGAATGATGCCAAAATGCTAAGTAGCTTGATAAAAAAGAAAGGTTCTTTGTTTCAATTATTTCTTATTGCACTACATGCTTCCCCTGTCACCACTTAATTAGAGACAAGAACTCTGCAGGAGATCCTGTTCTTTATTAATTTATTTTAAAGTTTTTAAGAGTACTTGCAACAGCAATACCAAAGTCTGAATTCACTAGCAAGCTCTGGTTAAGGAAAGACAGTCCAGTGCATTGTTATTAGCCTGGGACTGGAGAGGACTGGCCATAAGTCCTGCTCCTGACAGAGCCTCCTCATGTGATCAAAACACTTGGTCTCAGATCATTAGAGGTGTTTCATTTTACTCCTGTGGAAAATCATGCAAGTCAGAAACCTCTAGTGACCTGGTGTTTCATCTCTCGGTGACAACTTCTGCTTTCAGAAGCTTTTGTGAGGATAGCTATCTGAAGAATTGCTCAGTGATTATTTAAGAAGTCCCAAAAGAAACATACCACATGCATTTTTTGGCTTTGTGAGCACACTTTGCTTCACCTTGTACTAGCTTGTAGGAATGGGATTAACTTTACACCCTGTTGGATGTCAAACCTTTGGCCAGGTGTCAAGCAAACACTCTCCTCCTCAGGCAGAGGGAGTGGGCCATATTCTTTTCTGTAGCTCCTATATTCTTCATAATATGGGAATCGATGGGAATGGTAGCTGGAAGCTGAGATCAGGATTTTGAGTCCATTCGATACAATTCTAATTAAAAAAGAGACCTTATCAGCTAATGTAGCCGAGGACTTTGCTACTCCCCTAAGGATTATGGAGTTTAAAGGGTCACAGTTTCTTGTAGCGACTAGTTGATGGCATTAGGACCTTAATGCTTGTTTGCAATTTACCAACAAAATGTAGGTCAGATAACAAAAAGAACCCAAAGCAAAATTTACAAACCAATTACTCAGCATTATCACAAGTCACTTCACAAATGAAGACACCAACAGAAATGTTTATGTTGGGGATTTAGCTAGCCCTTTTGAGCTCTCTTGTTTCTGGTTCAAAATGCTTGGGTTTACTCACTGAAATATTCTGTTTGCAACAGCATTGGGTTAAATGCAATAGAACAACATGTTAAATTGTTTGTATAATGACTTGTGGGACAGGTCCTCACTTCTCTCTTGGTGCAGTTTGACAGAGATTATATGAGCTCAAGTGCTGTCACTACATAATTAGTTGTCAACTAATTTGTTCTACAGCAGGATCACTTGAAGAAAATTTTCACTAGTGATAGTTACTGAAATGTGTATTTATCTGCTTGTGTTATCCCCCTGCTGGCATTCATGTTTTTCCTTGGAGCACATTCTCATGAATTTTATAAACCACAGCATCCTCATTACTCTGTGGCTCTGGATGTTTGTGTTGCTGCCTAGCAGCAGTGACACAGCCATCCATCTATCCTACACTGCTTTGCTGTGTAATGCACCAAATTCTTCTAGGAAAAAGCATAGTCTATATGGGCCATATAACAGCATTGCAAAGAATGATGAGATGCAAGTTGATGGAGCTGTGTTGAGCAAACCTGGCCATAACTGCACCGTGCCAACATGTTGGACTATCCCGGAGCTCACAGGTAATCCTGAACTAATGCATGAACTAATTCTGTTCAGGCTCAGCATTTCTTCCTTGCCATGCCTCTGAACTTACTGAAAAACTCTGGAGTACTGTCTCTTAACCGAGTTTGGCCCTGGCAGAAGGTTAGGAGCTGTCTCTACAGAATAGTGTAGGTTTAGCCCTTTCCAGAGGTATTAAGTAACTACAGAGCTCACAGCTTCTGAGGGTTCTCATTACCTTTGAGACCCAGCTCATGCAAGTAAGGCATTTATGTTGAGGAGCCAAGTCTGAGCCTCTCAAGGCAACTGGTGGTCTAGGTGCATCCAGTTTGTGTACCTGGTGTTGAATCTAATACAGAATTCCTCAGGGAGGAAGAAACATAGAGAATTGACTTTCAAAGGCCAGTTGCTACAAATACAGCAATACTGTCAGAAATCCAGAAGTATTGGACCTACGTTTCAATTAAATAGTAATCATTATAAAATATTACACTGCTCACTTGTATTAACATGCAACAATTGCATTTCATTATTTTTACTAACCATCCAGTAGTTCCAAAGACTCATTTATGACCACTTAACAGCCAGACTCTTAATATTTGTAGTGCAATTATCCTGAAACAGTCTTGAATAATGTCCTGTTTACAACTGAAGTAATAAACCAAGAGCACCAGGGGACAGAAAGGCTAATTAAAGGGGACAATTGGAGAAACAATCCCGTGTTGAATGGCTGGAAACATGCTATTATTGTTCCTGTATGGGGTAGATTTATACTAAAGGTGATTAAACCTTTAAAGTATTTGGTTTCTTTTGCATTTCTGTTTGGACTCACTGAACCTGATTCGCATTTACAGCCAGACTTCTTTTACACTTCTAGTGGCAGTATAAAAAAGTCTTTAGGAGGATATTTACTGCCAAAGTGGTCCAAAGAGGGCCTGGTATAAAAAGGCAATAAAAATCAGACTGGACTAAAAAGTTAACAGAAACAGTTTTCCTACCCCTAAGTGCTCAATATTTTATAAAGGCTGTGGGATCTTAGGGAATTAATATCATTGCGGTATAATGAACACAGACTGACTGTATCCAGATACGTTGTGTAATTACTGCTAACATCCAAACTCTCCTAAAGCCTGCTGGAGTGCTTGGCCACAACTCATAAACTGAGCTGGATAGTGGTCATTAGGGGACTCTTGTCATGTTTCCAAAACCTGCTTTTATTGGGAAAACTATTCACTGAGTGTCTGCCACATGCATACTGATTAGGAACATAGTTTTGTAGTTCGACATGTGGGCTTTTAATGAGACAGAGCTAAAAAATTAAGACACCTGAAGCATAAGGCATTTTAAGATTTTGTCACCAAGTTTGAGGTCTCATGTTTTCAAGCTTTCCTCTGCAAGCTGGAAAGCCAAGATTATTTTTTTTTCTTTAATTTTTTAAACAAAGCTCATCTCCTCTTCTGATCACGTAAGTCTAAGAGCTTTAACTTGCTTTCCTAAATATACTGAGATTTATGATGGAGATGTAAGAGTTGATAACGCTGGAATTTTGAGACTAGCAGTGTAGCTTTACTCATGGGCCGTGCGAGTACACTGTGCTTCAGCTGAAATCAGTAGGAATTTTGCTACTGTTGGCTTCAGTGAGGAAAAAAAATCAGACCTGAGTAAGACTATATGTTCATTCTTGAAGAGCTATCAGGTTACAAAATATAATATGGATTGTCATAACTTGATAATCAACATTATGTTTCTTGGTTGTCTTACACGTGATGTATTTGTCCTATATTTGACACACATATAAAGCTGCTTAAAAGGTTTTAAGAGTGGTATAAAAGACTGTATTTTTTTACCCCAGATTAGTGATTATGTGTGATTATTAGTGATTGTTAGTGATTATGTGTATGCACAGGATGACTGTGGAGATGCTGCTCTTCCATGAAACAAGAATCCACCCTCAACTGCTTGGGAGCAACTTGCTTCTGTGCAAGGCCTGAGCTCCTACCTCCTGCCGAGTGTGAACGCAAGTCAATACACATTGCAGGATGCAGGATGCCATGGCCCCAGCACCTAGCCCTGGCCTAGCAGCATTTTAAACAGGCCTGTGTGCCACCTCTGCTGTGTATAGTGTAGGCCGAAGGTTTGGCCAGTGTGAAAAAGGTCATTCAGGATTAATTACAATCAGTAAAGGTACTACAGAGATTTTTTTTTTTTGACATAACCTGTCTATGTGGGCTGGTACTTTGGGTCATGTGTAACACTTTCCTGACAACATGGTCTTTAATGCATGATATGTCTTTTTTTCCTCTTCTTATTTTTATCAGATGTGATATAGAGGATGGGCTGCATCAGCTCCACTCTTGTGCAGGCTAACCTCACACCAGGCTGGTGGTATACAACTGTCATATGTATACCTGCCAGTTAATTTCTGATATAACTCCATTAAAGCCTGAACAGGTAACCCTCGAGGAAAATCTAAGTGTAGAGCTTTCCAAGATTTCTTTCCATCACTTTAATCTCAATAACCAGCTGGGGGAATAATGTGACAAATGTTTTGTCTGTCTTTCAGAGGGAAATATAAGGCAGCATCATTCAGGATGTTTTGAGAGGGTGGAGATATGCTGTCTGAAGAAAAGATCTTTGAAAGATCGGAAGCTTCTAGTTACCAAAAGACTGCAGTTCAGGTGAGCTGTGAGGTTCATAGAGGAATGGTGATGAGTCTGCAAATGTGTAAAGGGACACTAGGCCTACAGCAAAATTATTCAGCATACTGATTAGGGACTAGACACTGATAGTATAAAGTTGAGATGTATTGCACAAAGAAGTTGAGAAAGAAAAAAATCAGATGTAAAAACTGAAGTAGCCTGATCAGCCAGGCTACTTGGAGCCTTGGCTGAACTAATGGGAGAGTATTACATAGGAAACAGCCATGTCAAAAGAGATTTATAGGCAATGATCAGACTCAAATTGTCTATGAATTCTCAGTACATTTTTTCCCATAATAAGTCAATACTCTTTTAAGCAAGTTATATATAGGGAAAAGATTTCTTAAAGGGCAGGAGAAGTCATATTATTTATTAATAATTTAACAGTAAGAACTGTATCGTTTTAAAAAGGATGTTTAAATGACAGAAAGTTGAAATAAGCAAGGCAAGCTAGGAAGTAGCCTGTCTTCTGAGGAAACTGGAGTGCAGAATATATACATTGCTTGTAATAGATCTCATTCCCAAAGTCTGTCCTGCCCACGGTCTTTGGACCTGGCAATCATCTTATAGTATTTATTGGTCTCATGGTTCAGATTCCAGGCTTGTCAGTAGTGCAAGCACTGAGGAATTGTGGGTTTGCGTCAAACTCCTTACTGGTAAGGGCAACTTGTTAAGAATGATTCCCATCATACATTCCTCTGTTCGCTTTCAATATCAAGGTGATAAAGAGGCTGGTTAAATAGGGCAGGATGTTATGGGAAATGCCTATCTTTAGAGGCTGGCAAATTGCCTATATGTAAGCAGCATTAAATGCCTTTTTTTTTTTTTTTTTCCCAAATGAAAACCTGTGGAAGGCTCATGAAAAACCACCAGAGTCACAACACTTTAAAACTCATGTAAGAATGGAGCAATCCACAAGAAGTGGTGTGAAATGCTCACAGTATGTGGCTTAGATGGATAGCTGGAAAAACTCCATAAGCAATGGTGTCTTCTATAAATTAGGGGAGGATTTTATCATAGGCTAGATTTGTGAATGTAATATTTATGTCAGAGAGGACGAGGGTAGAAAAGATAGATTTTTAAAATTGTTCAAAATATTTTTTGTAAAAGAAGTCGCATTAATTTTTCTTTTTATAAGCCAGCCAGATAAATCACTAGAGAACAAGTTTAACTATTATAAGATTTTTGGAAGGACATTTGCACCTTCTTTTGTTTCAATGGTTGCATTAATTTCCCTGTTTCTGGAAACCACTGGGGTTGGGATTTTTAGAGACTCTGCACATAAATGTTTGGGCTTATGCAGGTTGACAGAGTTCTTTGCATCCCAGGCTTTGCTGGATATTCACATGTGGGAACAGTATTGAATCACAGTGTTTATAAAGAGGTATTGGATGTTCAGGAAATAGGTAATAAGCCCCAGATATTTTCACCTTGAAATCACTGTGGAGAATCCAAATTTTTAGTGACAAAGTGTTGGCATTTGTAACCCTCAGTCTCCTGAAATGCTGCAATTTTCATGTAATGAGTCCATTTCCCTTGTGTCCCCCAAGGCTGGCTTTCAACTACAGTTTCTCTGGATCCTGAAACACAAGCCTTTGACAACTTCTATATGTTGGTTAGCTTCCTCTACCCTCTTAATAAAGTAGATCCAGTTTCTAAACCTTGTGGCTATATGGTCTAGCTGCTCAGGAAGGATGAGGAGAAGCACTGTCTTCAGGACCTTAGCCCACAGAAGAGCCATTGAGCTGTTTAGGCTCTTTTGGGGATGCTCAGTGAACGGGTTTGAGTCTCAAGAGACTGTCGTCCCCATCAGCATTTCTCTGCATAACAAGACTATGCTACATGAGAAGAAGGAGGGTGGTGGCTCTCCCATCCTTCTTTACAGCCAGCAGGGTCAAGCTCCTTCCCTCTAGAGGTCATTTCAATCCCCCTCCCGTCTTCCTTCAGTGAGACAGAGGCAGGGACAAATATCACTTATGACCCAGAGCTGATGGTTACTGGTCCTGTGCACAGGAAACTTGGTTTGTGCTCTATGGTGGTGATTACATTTCCTTTGTATACCCTTCAGGAAGGATCAGCTGGGAGAAGCCTCAGCCCCACCGTGGCTGTACATCCCATTCCCTCTAGGCATCTAAGGCCAGTGCTACTTTTTTACATGCAGAAAAGATGGTGTTTACATTCTTCTCAAGGCCCCTAGGGAGACATAGAAGCCATATGCAGATGTGTGGGCTCTTCCTGGCCCCCAAGTGGGAATATTTACTGGTTGCAGGTTAACCATGTTGACAACTACTAACAGTCAGTAGTTGAAGTTTCTTTAGGTGCCTTCTTTAAGTGTCTTAAAGGGTTGTCAATCAGCTCTCTTTCAGGACTGGAGGATCCTTGAGGTCCCTTCCAACCTGGTATTCTATGATTCTATGACTGATATGCCACAGGGCTGAAATTGGGGCTCTAAAAACTTCAGAGTCTATGGAATTTTCAGGATAAAATCCTTCCTGCAGGAAAGGGTGGGATGCAGCCATCCAAATGGCCTCTCCTCATGCAGCATGCAAGCGACAGCAGTGTGGCTGGTGCTCAATATCCCTCACTGCAGCAGGGCAGGGCTGTCATGTTCTGCTTTGTCTCCTAGCAGCAGGAGTTGCCAGTGCTGTTCACCAGGGAAAATCTGGCCTGTGAGGAGCAGTGCCTATGCAATTATGCAATATGTATTCCCATAAAGACATTTATGATTTATTTCAATGCAGTGGATAGCAAGGTAGGTATAATTAGGCCAATAAGAAAAGATCCACCTGGTGTGTGTAAGATTGTCTCATGCTGCCAGTTCCAAGGGGTTGCAATGACGAACTAGTCCAAGTCCAGACGTGCTTTAATCAGCTCCATCTTTATTATATGGCAAACAAACTCTCATGCTAAAGTGAAGAAAAACCATGCAAATAGCCTGCAGGTCCTGAAGGAAGACATCTCTCTGTCTCACCTGGGAAATGAGCAGAAATATAGGTAAGGACCAAGGGGATGCATTTACAGATGGTCTCCTGAGTTTCTGTCACAATGCACATGGAGCCAACTGGAATTGCTCCTCAGTGCCAAACCAACCGGCCAACAAACCCCAGTGGTGGAAAAAGGGTCTTGGGTAAGAGCAAGAAGGTGCCACTGCTGAGGTCGAGCGCTTTCCTGGAGGATGTCTGTATCCCTCTAGCCTCTCTTCCCTCCCTCCGTCAAGGCCCGTGTTTGTGGGAGAGGTATAACAGCTCTGCTGTCATGACAGACTGTACCCCCTCCTTACCCATCTCAGTTCTCACTCTGGCCCTTTCCAGTGGTGACTTGCCAGGCCCGTACGTTTGGCTATGAAAGCGGACAAGGACCACAGATGAACTTTGCCATCGCAGTCAGGATGATTGCAGCCAGGGCAAGACAAGTGTCTGGACAGATGTCACCTCAGTCATATCTTTCAGTGCTGGTATGGACAAGACCTTTGAGGACAGGTGGAGCCTGAGACAGAGGATATCAGCAGTGGTGAATCAGCTCTTGCCAACCTCTTCCTACTAACGCCACTCCTTAAGATGAAGGATCCATAGCTGAATTAAGTGGTGGGGTTGAAGACTAGGACCAGGGGTCATCTCCAGAAACTGAGCACAGCCCTGCCAAAGTGCCTCTCAGGGTCTGGGAAAGGCTCAGGGTCTGGGAAAGGCCACCCACTAACGACCAACTGTGAGAAGCTTTAGTGGATAGGGAAGGTGATATGATAGAGGCATATTTGTCTGTGACATGCTTTGACTCGTGGGCAGGGAGGGAGCTGTTAAATGTAGTGGTTGCAAATGCGGAGGAAGGGGAAGGGAAAAAAAAGCATTTTGTTAGTTCCTGTTGTGGGTAAGTTGTTGCTGTGTTTTTTTTCAAATGATGACAAACTTCCCATGTTTCTTAATGATCTTCTCTCTGTGCCATTCATTCCCTTGTGTTCAGGGAAGCACTGCTGTTAGTGGTCCCAGGCAAGGAAGTTCTTCATCGAATATTTCAAATGGAGAAGCAAGAGACACAATGTTAGTAATGTTGGTTAGTTTTAGGAAGGATCTCTTATCGCTTTGCACCTATCCCTGGCAGTTACTGATAACACCTGAAAAGCCAAGATGCTCTTGTGGATGATGCCCATGGAAGTGAGAGTATGATACAGATCATTCATAAGACTTTTTTGTTCACTCTGCCTTCCTCTGTAGGAAAAGATGGGGAGAAGCTGCAGCCTTACTGCAGCACTTCTGTGTTTTAAATTGCTTTTCACACAGCCTGATGTGGCGTAATGGTAAGGCCGTCCTATAGACCATTGTAAACCTGTATGCTGAGCTATTTTTTGATTAAAAAGCACAAAAATAACTAATCCCTCTTAGAAATTCTGGCTGAAATATCTGAGAGTTTATAATCTGAACAAACAAACTGGAGATAAGGTGGGAGAACAGGGACATAACATTAAAGAAATGCCATTTAATATGATAAATGACTTAGCAGTGATTTAAGGTATTGAAGTATTATCATACAAATAAACACTTGATGAAAGCAGAAAGAGAAGTGCCTGAGGTAATAAAGATTTATGGATTCCTGGTTGAACCACAAAGATTTAGACCAGGATGGAACTGAAAAGAAAAAAAGCTTGTTGTAGTGAAGATCACTTTTGAAAGAAACTAAAAATGAACTAACCACTGCCTAAGTGAAGGGAAACAGCAGCTACTGGGGGTGGGAAAGCTTTTCTGCTCATAGCTATTATTTTTCTAACCAGAATAAATTACTCCTTAGGAAAAGTCAACTGTTGCCCCATTTGGTCTGTTGATATCGGAAGGGTGGTGGTGGTGAGAATGGTCATGAAAGAAACACAAAACTGAGAAACAGAACTTCAGTGTCAAGATGTCCTTGAAGAAGCATTGGGAGCACCTGCACCCAGATGTGGGGGACTCACTGTTCATGAAAGAAAACTGTAGCTCGGACTGATATCATGCAAGTACTGTATTTTTTTTCACAGTGATAGTGAGCCACAGATAGAGAAGAAGAACAAAGAGGTAATATAGTGAGCACACAGTGAAAAATAGACAAGGAAGTGCCATCACACTAATCAAAGTAGATACTCTTGTGGGGAAGAGCAAAAGCACAAGAGACAAAATAAACTCCAGTAATACAAACAAGTCAAGTACAAAAATGAGGACTTTCCTGGCTCACTACCTAACTGCCATAGTAAATTGCAAATGTGCAAAACAAAATTGGCCTTCAAGATACCTGAAAACACTTTTAAAGCTCTTACCTATCTGCATTAGATGACGTATGCTGCATACATATTTAGGATAAATTGATTCACTGAATAAACTGCATAAATAATACTAGGTAATTCCTATAGGGTGAAATTTTTCACTTTACTGTGTAACTACACAAATTCCAGGCACCATCCAAATTCTCCATCATCCCTGAAGTAAGATTAAAGGGGATGTCAACCATTCACAGACATGACCCTCATTTGTGCAGCATTATTTGATTGCATGGAGACTCCTGAGGTAAGTAAACACAGTGACAATGTTAAGCACATTTGCTTGAGAAGGTAATAAAGTCCCACAGATGTATTTCTTAGGAAGGAAGATCTGTGTGAAAAGGGCTAATATGTAGTGCACACCTGTACAGAGTAAAGGGAGCCTGTGATTATGACTGGTTCCTCCAGGCATGACCTAAATGATCACATTAGTGCTACGTATAGGCAGATATATAACAGTTCATTGTCAGTACTAACTGTAAGGGTTGCGTAAGCCTGGCTACACTGCAGAAGCGGCATGGAGAACCAGACTCTGCTGTGCCCTCTAGCTAAAAATGATGCTTGGCTTCATATTGGAAATTTGAGCTGCTTGTGGAACGGGAGTAAAATGTGTGCATAACTTTTCTCCTTGCTTACCACACTGGCAGATAGCAAGCTATTTCCTCTCAGCGCCCAGCGTGTTCCCAAAATATTACCTATCATCTACCATAAAGGGTTTTCATCGTTTATCAGAGACATGTTTCAGGGTCATTCTCCCCAGTCACGAGAATACAGCATCTTCATGATAGTTACAGAAAGACCTTACCTGTTGTCATTAATACTAGAATTAAAATTGACTCACAGACACAATAAATATTCAGAACCAGGTCCAAACATGATGTAATCAAGGATATGGACTAGCGAATGTAAATTATTAGTAAAAGGAGAACCCACTGCGTTGTTTCAGAGTCTGGGCTCTTAGCTCAGCCCATGGCTGACCCCAACCAAAGCAGATGACACTGGTCTCCTTCTGACCCACCAGATGCTCTTCACTTGTAGGGAAGAGCCATTCCCCATCAAACACTTTCAGTTCGGGGACTACCATGCTGGTAGTGTTTCCTGCTTGACAGTGCAGCATTCAGTATGCTACAGTCTCATGGCTATTGATTTGACCTGGTGCTATAAACTTTGATTTCACAGCCCACTGTACAAACATGGTTTTGGCAGATGTCATATTGGTGGCAATATTAAACATTTTCACTATTATCTACCAACATCTTTAATGGAGACTGTTCTGACTGGGTCAAGTTTATTCTTTGCTTAATCCCACAGCTCCAAGCTTTCACGGGGGAGTAAATGCCTTGGTGCTTTCACCTTCTTGACATTCAGATCTAGGCATCACTGAGCAGTAGAAATACGCTCAGATAGATGAGTCTAGGACCAGATACTTCAGCTCAGCTTCTCTCTTTCTCTTTCAGAGGAACTTATAGTGGATAACAAATCAAGGAGGAAATGGTAGGACTTGAGTCGCTGTCTGGAACCATTAATCCTATGTCTCACCTTCCCATGGGGCTATAGCCACTACCCAGGTGTTTCACTGGGAGTTCGGACAATGCCGAGGCTATGGCAGGGAAGAGGGGAATGGGGGGTGGGGTGGCAGATAAACCTGTCTCTGGCTCTCCTCCACAGCTTCAGTGACCACTGTGGTGTGCCTGCCAGGTCCATGGGGCAAGCTCGGGACTCTGCTGCGCTGGGTGGTGTAAGTACCAGCCCCAGTGCATGGTCCATGCACAAGGGAGAGTTCAATGCAATTATCTATTTGGGTAAGTGAATTAACTAGATAATTTCTGACAGAGTGAGAAGGGTCCAGGAATCTTTTTGTTACCTTCTTTGGCTCAGTCTGGGAAAAACTCTGGTTCAGCACTCCTGAAGTGATTAGACAGGTTTTCTGTAGCTGTTTCTGCATAGTGAACATACTGATTTCCTTAAACAAACCCAGAAATGCTTCAGCCTTTAGGCCAATCTTTTTCAAACTCATATGCCTACAGTTATTCTCCTCAGTCTGAACTAAGATACTTAAAAAGAAGTCGGTTATTTCAGTCATATATGCACTAATCAGAAGTGGAGACAAGCCCAGAATTGGAAGAATCCTCCAAGGAAGTGCTGTGGAAACAAGTCTGGACAATTGATTAATGTGGAAAAGCTGACATATAGAAATGAGAACCAGATATTCATAACACCCACTGCTTAACTTTTTCTTTTTCAAGCTTCATAAACACCAGAAGTTTCATCTGAAAGGAAATTTGAGTTCAGCTATGCACTAAATATCAGCTACATTTGTTTTCAGCATGGTCATATATTCTATTCATAGTATATTCAGACATATGTGAAATATTTTATTACATATTAGTTTATGACAGGTACATATTTTGCACATTGTCCCAGGATGTAACTTCATCACTTATGAACTCTTTAGCTTTATTTAAAAAATTTTAAAACTCGGATGACATCCCAGCATAGCGGAGAAGAATCAGCAAGATTTGTCTAGAGTATGAGGACGGAACTGAGCTCACAAACCTTATACTTTGTTCTTTATGTGATTCACAGAGTAGTCAAACATGGTGATCATATTCCCTTTTATAGGTGAAAAGCTGAGGCTGCCTTCTGAAAAGTTCCATACTGCAAAAATGGGACAATAATCAGCTTCCCTACATACACCCTTCCTGCGTTCTTCCACCGTACCATTACTCTCATGTGGACAAGACCCATATATGATTAACAAGGTGGGGTCAGGTTCACTGTTCACTGTCTGAAGCCATATTTACTGGGGTAAATATGCTTAGTTTCTTCCCCTGTAGAATCAGGATCACAACACTTGACAAGCAAGGGATGTCATGGAGACCAGTTCATGTCTTCATCCCAGATACATCATGTCATAAATGCAGAGGGTTAATTATGATTCCTATGACTAATATTGCTTTGCCAAGAGCACTGAAATAACATTGAAGCTGGTAGTAGTTATTAACCTTCACCTGTGCCTGTGAAAAATAGCCTGGAAAGAAAAGGAAAATGCCCTGAGAGTTGGTCAAGGTTTATCTCTTAACTTGCACATTCAAAAGGTCATCTAAAAAATTAAACTTCGTTTCATGGATGTGCAGCATTGACCTGTTAATGATGACCAAGTGGGTTTTTTTCTGAATCTGATCAAAATGCTGCTGTGACCTGTGGGTAGGCATCCTCTGGGCTGCTTGTCAGCAGCAAAAGAAAGGACCTACCTCTGGCCCCATCTCCTGCTGCTCTAATCTGGGCTCCCTGGCTGGACCCTGGACTTGGCCCATCCTCTCACTGTGCCTGGGACTGCCTATGGGCCCTGTGACCAGCCCCAGCTCTGTTCCCATGTTCATCCCATGGGGGTCAGTCCCCATGGGTGAGGGCTTGGCCCATGCCAGGGCCAACTCTGGTCCTGGCTTGCCTGCCCTGCAGGAGAAGCTGCTGCTGCCTGAGAGACATGAGAAAGATGAGAAGCACCATGGCAGTTTATTGGATCCACCAGTGTGGTACACGTATGGTCTGCCTTGGTCTCCATCCCTGCCACTGTAGATAATCCTTCAAAGTAATCTCCTCTTGGTTGCATTGGGCTCCTCCCAAACAATGCAGTGGATTAGAAGGGTGGATACTCAGAAAGAGTAAAAATCAGGCCTTGGTTTTGATGGCTACACGTGGATGATGCACTCATAATATGGCCTTTTTGGTCACTTTGAAAAAGGGCTGATCTGCCTTATTCTGCATCCAGATGGATTATTAGATTTGATGTAATGTAGAAACACCCTGCTGGGAAAGTCCAGCCAAAAATAAAGTCACGCATCTGTGGCCTTCCTTTTAATTCCCAGCCAGCCTTCATTGTTGGGCTGATCTAATCATGCCCACTGGCTTCTTAAATTAGCTTTGTGGATCTAAAAGATGCTGTACTTGCTTCAAGAGCATTTTTAATTGAGCTGAGTTGTAATTACCTGATGTAAAACTCTCTCAGGTAGAAAGAGTGTATATATTCATTGGTGTGTACAGATCTGAAAGTATGCAAAATGAACCCATGAATTTGTCAACTACAAGAAGAATCATGTTGCTTATACCGCTGATTACATATAATTAGGATTTAAAAGATATGCAGATGGAAAGGCAAATGAGCTAGCAACTCAGTTTGGATTGAAATTACTCATTGCTCTCTGTCATTTTCACAGCAAGCATCAATTGTCAAGGGCTCCTTATTTTTTTATTTAAATGCTCACTCAGATCTGAGAATTATTTTAATTAGTTTAGATTATGGCAACACATCTCCCTCAATGTGGTCTTGTCCATGCAGAACCAATTAGTGCATCGTTTCACCACAGCTAGTGAGACCAAGAGAAGGGTGTGGATGTGTGAAGAGAGAGGGAAAAGGGAAAGCAGATGTGGTTCAGAGATTTTTTCCATCTGATTTTCAAAATAATTTCCCACCATCCTAATTCTACGCCTGCTGGCGTCAATTGGAGCTCTGCCATAGATTGCAGTGGGAGTAGGGCTAGGTCAGTGCACGACCCTTTTGGAACCACATCCTCATTTGTTATATAAATGAAAGCTCTGTGAATAATTTTTAATCACTGTGATAGTTTTTGAAATTGAAAACTGTCAGGGATGGGGGAACACCATTGATTTTGAAGTGGACAACACAAATCTCAGCATAGGTATCTTTTGGAGTTGCTCCTTCAGATCGTGGGGTTTGTTTCTCCATGCAAAGAGCTGTGTGGCTCATGCCACATCATCAAGGTCCTTCTCTCAGATAGCTGATAGACCACAAGTCCTGCATTCTGTGACATGGTGAGGTCAGAAAACCTCAGAAAACCAGAAGAAAGTGGAAGTATGTGCTGGTAATTGGCTAGATAGAGGCTGTAAATCATCCTTTGTGCCAGAACCCTCTACTGAGCCGTACCAGGCCATGCTTGGGAATGGGTGAGCTTTGCTCCCAGCTAGCATAGGCTCCCTCACTGGAATTCAGAAAGAGAGATTTTAAATTCCTTTTGCTTTGGTTTTGTTCTGTGTGAGGGGAACGTGGCACCGCAGGAGGATGAAGTGGGATGAGTCAAGTGGGTAGCCCTCCTTGTTTCTTTGGAGACCTTAATGAATTTTTGTACCCAATGGTTATATGACTTCCTTCCCAAGTCTACAGTGTTGAACAGTAAGTGCCACTGTGGGTTCTGTGATAGTGCAGCTTCCTAAGGACATACATACACGGTGCAGACCTTGTATTAAGGTTTAACTCAAAAATGCAGCACTTGCATGTTCCTTTGGCTTGTTATGTACAAGTACAGTCAAATGTGAAGATCAAATTACTAACTTCCCTGATTGCTTCTTGGTTTTGTATGTGTAAACATATATGTATATGTCCTGTGGTGACTGGTGAATCTTTTTGGGTTGTTGTCCTGAATTTCTGCGTTTTATGCAACACTGTTTTCACTTATAAAAGTTCTGAACATTTTGGGGGTTTCACTATAATTTGCTCAGTGAGATACAGCTTCTTGCACTGATGAGGACTTTCATCTGTGAGCAATTCCTGAAGAGTATTTCTTTAAATAAAGAATAAAAAAGAGTTACACTCACAGGAGAGAAAATGCCTTATATCACAAATGTGATAGAGAAATTCCATTATTAAGGAGAAAAAAACGCCTCAAACCATGTTGTCCATGAACAAAATAACTAAACATAAGGCTTACTGGTACATGTTTTTGAAAAAATCAAGCATAGATGGCAGGTATAAGCCATGCTGAAAAAACCCAACAACTTTAGAGTTAAACCCAAGACCCATTGAAATCAGTGAAATTATTATATTGGGCTTTAGCCCAGACTCTCACTTATTAAAGCAGACACTCTCAAACAAATGTAAAGGGTATCCTGTAGTGGAGACATTAGGCTGAGACTCAAGGTTTTGCACTCTCTGTCAGCCCAGATCCCTGCTATCAAGGAGGTAGTGGAAATTGTTTAGTCCCACCACAGCCCAGTTCTCTTATCTGTAGTACTGTGCCACTAAAAGCATAATTCCTTACCATTAATTAATAATCACTGTGAGATCCTCAAGCAGAAGATGCTGTAGAAGTGCAGAGTATAATTTTATTTGAAGGCACAGAAGAATTTATGGAGTAAAAGGTGGAAGGATTTAATGTATATTTTTTTCCAAACTGAGTTTTTCCACAGTTGCTTCCTTGGAAACAGGAGTTCAGAAATACAAGAAGAAATATTAAACTCAGTGCTCTGTGGTCATCTCACAGTGTGGGGTAGTGAAAAGAAGAGCTGGGAAAGCCAGAGTTTTGCCCACAGAGAGACTGGTTATCTGCACAGAGACTTGAAAACTAATTGATTACAATAGTTCATCATCTTTACTGGGGTGCTCCTTATGACAAAGATATGTGTCAATTAGAGGACACTGTACATAGTTTGTGTTAAGCAATGTTGTGTTTGGTCCGACAGCTCACTAGTCTGAACATCCTAGAATCCTGTTTTTCAAGAAGAAAGCTCACTTTAAGTGGTTGCTCTGTCCATTTCGAGGCACATGGGAACCTGACACATGGAAAGATATTTCAGTCTGCAAACTTCCTCCAGTATGTCTAGGTGATATGCTGATTTGCATGCCAAGATAACACATGATGTCTCAATAATAAATAGCCTCAAGAGTTTGAAAGACAGTGTGTAGTTCTACTAGGTTCTAGCTTTGGAGCCCATATGGTAATTGGGGGGTTCTTTCTCTCAGATTTGAAGGACATGGGTGAAAGTTTCTGTGAAGCAGAATCAAGTCTGTAGAAGTTTCAAAACAATATTCTTGAAATAACATTGCCATATGTTAAGAAACAGACAGTGTTTATGTTTACTGATATCTACCACTTTCTGTAGTGAATCACAGATACCAGACAGAAATTACCTTGCATATTGTCAGGTCCTTTCCCATGCTGGCATGTCTCCTGTTGCCAAGGTTCCTCTAGGTCTTTGTCCAGTCTAGTGCTTGGATAATGACACTGGAGACCTTAATGTTCAGAGTTAGAATATCACTGTGGATATATAGAACAATTCATTTTTCATGGAGTTACTTTGCACCTCTTCATAAATAAGGACATCTTAATCTTCTCCACATAATTAGACTATTAGTCTAATATTAGTCTAATATTAGACTATTATGCATATTAGACTATTTAGGTGGCTTGTTTCTGCCCTTCTGTAATTTCTACCTCAAATGACAGCACTTGCTTTGAGGGTGTGCCCACACTGGAAATTACAATAGAAACTATAGGACTAACTAGTACAAATGTGTTTTAGTTTTTTTTCTCTCCCGTAGGGTCATCTAACAGCCTACTGTATGTTTACGGGAGTGAAGTCCCTGGAGCTGGCCACGTGATGCTTTTGGAAGGCACCCGATGGGCAGGCAAAGGAGCTCAGATCTGGCAGAGAGAGGGCAGACACAGCAGTTTCACTGACAGTCATGGGCTGTCAGGAGTTTAATGAAGATGTGGCACAGCAACAAATCAAGCCATCACAGTCTGTTTTGTATCGATCCACTTTCAAGCCCTGACAGAGGGCATGCCAGAGATGGGTAGGGCTGTGTTCATGATGTTCTCAGCTTTGGGAGCTCTCTGATGATGCTGTGTTTATAGATAATCTGCAAACAAGATCTGAAGTGTTTGGATGGGGTGGCTTATTCCCTGTTCATGTCATAATCTGGAGGTGTCCCAAATCCATGAGACATGATGGTGGATGAAAACCACTGTTTCTCCCCTCTTTCTGGGTGGTTACGTTTCTGGGACCACAGCAGAAAGCCTCACACATGCTCAGATACTTATGTCATTAAAAAAGTATTTTGAATATATCATCAACTTTTCTCCTTTTTTTCTAGGCAAGGAACACAGCTTTAAGAGGAGTTATAAAAAGAATTTTTTAAAAAAACAGTACAAGTGGAAAGAAATGAAAGGTAAAAGCTATTGGAAAAAAGAAGCAACAGTGCATAATCCCCCTGCCTTCCCATGAGGCTGTTTAATTAATTACCGTTTACTCTTACCAGTTCGTTTATCCTCAGAGATTTTCTTTTGTTAGCTCTAGGCAGGATATGCACCCAAGCGGAAATTTGTGTGAAAGAAACTAAACCTGTAAACATCACTTCCATCCTAACAGGGAACACATACATTATTATAAAACAACTTTAATTATAGGCAACTTAAAAAAGATACCATAACTCCAAGAGCAGCTACTGTGTACCGAACAAGATGAAACTCAATCCTTTGCAACCACAACAAACAGGCTATCGCAAGACACTAAGGTTTTGAAACATGGTGTTTTTACTTAGGAAGGAGCTTCCAGAAAATCTGATACCAAAACAGCATTTTCTGGGTCACTCACCAAACCCAAAGGTTTTTAAAGTGTCTGGGTACTAATAAGTCCCTAGCTTATTATACAAATAATATGAATCTATTTAAAAGCTGCAGGTGTTTCATGCTTTTCCCTCAGCTCACAAACCAGAGAGTCTTATCTCAAAGCTTCAGTAGTCAAAATCCTGGAATCACCAGGAGGTCTGGGTTCAGTTGCATTTTCTTTCTGTTATTACCCCCTGTTGTGAAAGTGCTGATTTGCCCTAGTGACAGACCAGGACCCAGGTTGTTCCAAGTGCTGTGTCAGCAGCAGGAGAAAGCTGTCTCCACCCTATGGGTTTAAAAAGTATTTTGGAACAGGAGGCAATGGACAAGATCATCAAAACTAGGGGACAAATGGAGAAATAAGAAGAACAAGTCATGATACTATCATATGGGCAACTAATTAGGCAGGTGAGTGTACAGTAAGTGCATACATGCACTACAAATGTAATGAGCACAGACAGCTTTGATCAGAGTCAGGATTCAGTAGCTGTACTTGGAAATTAGTGGAAAGAATCTCAGCATGGCTTCAGTTTGCCCCAGCTAAATTGTTTCAGCAAAAATGCCACCAGTGTGTACTTACAGTTCTGAGTATGATGACTTTCACAACAAGGTGAAGTGAGCAGGAAGCCAGCTGGACTCACACTCTGTCTTTCTAACAGCCCTAATGCTGCTAATACTGTATGTCTGTAGGGGCAGAGTCCTGGTGAGGTTGCTGTTCAGGGTTGCTGTTGTGAACCCTGGTTCAGGGTTGCTGTTGTGAAGGGGGGCGAATCCTGATTGTGCTTATTTACTGGAGGTCAAAATTTGCCCTTGAACTTAAGACTAAACATTAGGATATGTGAATCCCAAAGCACAGTCTTAAGTGGCTTTGATAGTGTTATATGAAACAACTTTGGTCCTTAAAGCTTGCCGGTCTATTAAAAAAACTCCACCAAATACATTGCAACACATTTTTGACTTAGGTAACTGAATGTCAAGATTTCAAAACCACCAGGGAAACGTGTGATGCCTGCAAGACTTAAGAAGACCTTGTTTTTTTGCACTGCCCCATTCGGTTGGCTATGTGCCGGGCAGGCCCAAATCTAATATTTTTACTACAAAAAATTGAGTGTCCTGTGAGGTCATGGACTAAAATATGATGATGCTGACATGTGGGCAAGATGCACAGATTTTTTGCCTTGGATATTACAAATCTGGATGGCAGGATTTGTCAGGAGCAGTGAGGGCCAGCCCCCATAGGGGCTGTCAGGGCAGAACCTGTCAGCCAGGGCTTGCCGCACTGCCCCAGCAGCCGCAGGGCAGCCAGTGGTCCTGAACATCAGCATATTTGTGATGATGATGGGGTAGGACTGAGGTGCAGGCAAGAAGTCAGTCTGTGGGTCTGGGTAAGCAAGGTACATGGCCACGTACATGAATAGGTAAAGCCAAACAAGCAAAGCAAACCAAGGAATTCATTCACCACTTCCCATGTGCAGGCAGGTGTTCAGCTGCCTCCAGGAAAGCAGGGCTCCATCATGTGCAACAGTTACTTGACAAACGCCATCACTCACAAAGTTCCCCCCTTCCTTCCTCTTCCCCGGCTTTATATGCTGAGCGTGACGTCATATGGTACAGAATATCCCTTTGGTCAGCTGGAGTCAGCTGTCCCCACTATGTCCCCTCCCAACTTCTTGTGCACCCCCAGCCTGCTCCCTGGTGGGGCGGTGTGAGAAGCAGAAAAGGCCCTGACTCTGTGTGAGCGATGCTCAGCAGTAACTAAAACGTCCTTGTGTTATCAACACTTTTTTCAGCACAAATCCAAACCATAGCCTTATACTAGTTACTACGAAGAAAACTGACTCTACCCCAGCCAAAAACCGCACACTTGGGAAGTACCAACGGTGGAGTGAGCTCAAATCAACTCTGAAGCAGATGGGGAAAAGCCCTGACAAGCTGCCTCACAGCCCTCCCTCATGCATCTTGATCAGACGTCCCAGAGCTGCACTGTCTCAGGCTCAGACAGGACCACAGGAGGGCAAAAGAGTCTGCTCAGGGCTGTGATTGGATTTTTGAAAAGAGAATAAGCACATATTGCTTCTACTGCAACAAAATATCAGTGTGAACACCGTCCCTCATTTTAAACCCTCAGTTTAAGCTCTAAACCCAGTCATTTATGTTTATTTACTGTCACACTATGTTTTATAGGCCAGGTCTATTTTAAATGCAGCTCCTGCAAATCAGTGTACCAGGAATTAATTTCACACTTTATGTCTATCTCACTTAATTACCTTCAGCTTTGCTTAAACAAATTGATAAATTTGCTGCAGCAAAACTGTCACCTCTCAAGGTGCTGCAATTTCCATTTATTAGGGGGTGTATAGGCCCTGCTGCGGTCAGCATTGTTGAGTTTGAACTCTTCCTCCTCCTTCCTTCCTTGCAACAAGCCCTCATATGAGCTAATCAGTCTGTCTTTGGTCTTTCTGGTGCCCAGGGATGTCAGGCTGCAGCACAAGACTGGCTGTTCTTGGAAGAAAGCAGGCTGCCTGGAAGTTAGACTTTGCTGGACCAGGATGAGGCCGTTGCAGAGCAGCGGGATGAACTGTGGAAATCTGATTTGGTAGGGCACACTCACCTGAAGGCTCCTTGGATCCCTCTTCTGCCTCTTTATCTTTTCTTTCCCTACCTCTTTGGTTTTTGTTCTGGAAAGTAAACCACTCCCATTTCTGATTAGAGGAAGGTGGCAGTCATGTGCACTTCGTAAGGGCTGTAGAGTTCAGGATAAGAGAAACAATCAACCAAGGAATGGGTGTGATGCCGTGAAACACGCTCATTCTCTGAAGCAGTTCCACCACAGATTAATTTTCCTTTCATATCAAATAACCTGCATTTTGATTTCATGCCTTTGTGTGCAGATGCAAGTACATGCATGCTGTGGGGGACACAGGGTCAAATTAATCACTGGATCCAATCCATTTCTCAGCGGCCTCATCTAGAGAGTGAGCTTTGCTCACAGTATGCCACAGGAACACCAGTTATATGTCTGCGTTTCAATAACAATTGGAACATGCAAGCCCACATATCGATCACCTTAGATCTCGCTGATTTTAGTCTCCATGGTGTTTGACTGTATACTAATTGTGCATCTATTGATTTGGTGACAACCGTTCAGATGACTTGTCTGAGTATTGAAAATTAAACCATTCTAGGATACATTTGCTTTTTTCCTTTTCCTGTTTGGATTCAATTTTTATCTCTGTAACAGCCACCTCTGCTGATCACACACCAGTTGCAGTTGCTTTAATAGCCTGAGGGGAAAGGAACTCTAAATGTACTATTTGTCAAGTTGATATTTTCCCTTTAATAAGTTTTCCCATTACACTGCAAATCTTATACAGCTCACTGGATTTACACTTATCCATATGCATGAGTGTTGCGAATCAATACCCACTGAGCCAATTGCTCTTTATAGTGATAAGAATAAAATAACTGGTGAAGGGAGAAGTAGATGTAGGATTAATTTTAAAAGATTCATATGCAAGTGGAAGAGGCACATGACTGAAGACTAGCTATTAGTCTGTGGGCTGCTAAAACTTGGGAAAGCCCCCACTCGGAAGCATTTTGGTGCTAGACCAGCCCACTGGGTGTACCAGAAGGGCATATGGGAGCACACTGAAGGGGGCTGACACCATCTGTGCAAGGCTTATTGCAGCCCTCAATTCTTCCTGTGACCCTGCTGCAACTGCTACTCTTCTATGGACAAAACTCAGCAAGGGTTTCCTTTCCAAAAATGTGGCCCTCTTCAAGCTCATGTGTGCGGAACAAATACCAGATTCAAGATTTCATGAGAAAGATTCTTTCATTTTCAAAACCACTATTTATTTCAGGGTCTCATTTTTCCAGATGATAGATATAAAATTTCCAATGTTTCTGTCTCTGTGTTCTTTAGAGTCAAGGTCTGTATTCCTCAGTTCCATTTTTTTTTAACTCGGAAGTATGTTACCTCTTCCAGCCCACTCACCAGAAAGCAGCAATCAATTCTTTTGAAAGGTTTGAATCTTGTCCTGACTAGTGCCTTGGGCTGGCTTATATTAAATGTTCCAGTGTGTTTGATTAACTCTCTCTATTATGAGTGATGGCAAAGCAGAGTGATCACCTACCTGCCTTTCAGAGTGGGGTTATAATGGATAACCCCTGGAATTAATGAAACTGCTATGCCTGATCACAGATGGTCAAGCAAGCTGGTATATTCAACTCTCCTTGTACTTTTATTGCAGAGAATAAGATAAATCATGTAAGCCTTGCAAATTTCTTGGCTGAGTCTGCTGAACATTTAACTCTTGTCAGTGAACTCCCTAACTTTCTCTGGATTCAGAGCTATTAAAGAGAAGTAAACACATGGGTGTTCAAAGGCATTCCCTTCATGCTGCGGCTTTTCCCATGTTGTTCCTAACTGGAGATGAAAAGGAAAGGGCAAAGATTTCTCTGTCCCAACATGCATTCTAGCTAATGAAATAATTATCTTACAATGTGGCTTAGTATGGAGTAATTGTAAAAGAAAGCTGCTTGGCAGC